TATCTTATCGTGGTGTAGCACGAGAGCATTTGGTTAATTATGATGCTGCAAACGAGACAATACATTGTGGTTGCATGAAGTTTTCTTTTGCTGGGATTTTATGTCGTCATGCATTGAAAGTGTTGGACAAGAAGAATGTTAGAAGAATTCCATCTACCTACATTCTAAATCGATGGAGTAAAGAGGCAAAAGCACGAAACATATCTTATTATCATTCAGAGCCACCTAATGAAACAGTCAAGCAATCGATTGGAAAGCGATATAGCCATATATGTCGTACTTTCCGTGAGATTGCATCTGTTGCTGCTGATCATATAGAATTGACGTTGTGTGCAAATGAAGATGTCATTCAGTTGCTTAAAAAATTGGAGGAAAAAAAAAAGAACTTCTGAAAGCTAATGCATGGATGCTCCAAACTTCAGATGTTGAACTTGTGGAAGAAGAAGAAGAAGAAGACAAGGATGTTCCAAATGCACGTAAGGTAAAAAGAAAAGCTCATGTTGGACGACCAAAAAACAAAAAAGTCGGACCTCATGGTCGATTTTTGAGTGTTCTTGAAACGAAAAATCGGCGTACCACAAAACCATCAAGTAATGCTGCTGCAAAGAAAAAATTATCATTTCAGGTATTTGATATAACATTTTTCTTTTTAGTTTATATCTATTTTTTTATCGAAATGTGACTTAATCTATATATACTAATTCTTATTTAAAATTGATAAATGCTTCAGGACTCCACTCCTACTCCAGATACTCAATTATTTGGTGCTACCACCAGCTCGACCTTACATAATGGGTCATTTATTTCACAAGTGTTCCAGGTAAATACTTCATTCTTGCTTTTAATATTTGAGCTATCTATTATTGTTTTTAATAATTTGAAATCTTATATTTTGTAGGAATTTGACAAGAGTTATGGTGGTTCATCATAAAGCTCTGTTATTTTGCTTTGTTTTGTTTTTTTTCAAAATCATATTCGAACACCAAGTCCCTTTTGCTAGATTGATTTTCTTTCTTCTCTTGTAGAATCACAAATTCAGATTCTTATCATTTTATTATTTTCTTCTAGATTGATTTTTTTGTTTTTTCTTATTATTTTATTGTTTGAGGCAACTCCAAAGAATCCAAGATGAAAACTCTCATCAAGTTAACTCTCTGTATGCTCACGAAGAAGACGACTATTCTCGTAACATCTTTTTTTTTTGTTAAAATTCTCGTAACGTCTCTTCACACCTTATATCATTCTTTTAGAAGACTATGAATCTCTTTAAGTAAAAAACGCACCGTTTATGGATTTGTATCACGTGACTTTTAGCTCACAAAAAAAACTTGAGATCTTTTATTTCTAGTAACAACTTCTTATTGTCATGCTTTCAAATTTGCTCACATTTAAATAATTCTATTAAAAATAAATAAAGAGACGTTAACGTCAAGTATTGACGTCCAACGTTAATACATATAAAGAATTTGTTTCCATATTTTATTTTTCTGAATTAAATTTTAGTTAATTATTTTTGTTTAAATACAATCTTACATGGCATAATCTTATTGACTTATAAAAAAGGAGGTGAACAATCCAAGATTTGTCCATGCACTATTAATCCATCAACCTTCGGAGTTATTTTCTTCTATCTCTGCCCTTACCTATTTATGAGGTGGTCGATGGATATTATTGGACCATTGCATAAATCAACCCGAGGAGTACAATACCTTTTGGTTTGGACGGACTATTTTTAAATGGATTGAAGCTGAAGCATATTAGCATTTAGTGAGACATGTCATGAGCGAGAGTCCATTTAGGTTTGGGCCTCCTCTAACATGTCATGAGCGAGAGTCCATTTAGGTTTGGGCCTCCTCTAAAATTATCGGAACACTAATTCTCCTCTAATAAGTTCTCTGTATCCACCACCACATGCTTGTTGAGAGAGAAAGAGTGAGAGAGAGTGAGACATGACGGGCTGTGTGAATTCTATTTCTCCGCCGCCGGTGACTTTATACCGGCCTCGTGCCTCTCCGTCACCAGCTTCACGGTCATCTTTCTCATTTTCCGGAGATTCCGTACACTCTCTTTACCGTCTCCGACGTGTTTCGAGATCTCCGTCGATTATCGCCCCCAAATTCCAGGTGAATGATTGTTTTGAGCTGCAATTTTTGAATACCATTTGCGATCTGTTAATTTATATTATTTTTGTGTGTGGAAGGAATATAGATTGTGGCGGCTGAAAAATCGGAGCCTCTCAAAATTATGATTTCAGGAGCTCCTGCTTCTGGTAAAGGTACACAATGCGAGCTGATTACTCACAAAGTAAGCTTCTTCATCTTTTTTTTTGGATACCAATCTCATGAATCCAATTCATTTTACTATCAATTTGAAAATACTTTGATCGGTTTTGTCAATTAACCTTAACTTGGCCACTTATAGCTTTACCTGAGCTGATCCAAGGGTTTCTCTAGGAGTGATTTTAAGCATTAAACTAGTTATTGGCTGTATTATGTGATGATGACTGCGATTTAATAGTCTTTATAAGGAGGTTAACATGCTAAACTAAAGCTTAGGTTCTTGAATGAATAAGGAAAATTGTGCTTTCGATAATTGATTCAGGGCTTTCTTCAGTTATTATTTCAAGCATCAGACCAGTTTATGGATGTATCATGTGATGATGCCTGCAGTTTTAATACTCTTTAATAAAGAGGTTAACATGGTAAAGGGTTTAGTAATGTGTCTGGTTTTTAGTAGAGACTAGAAGTTTAGGTTGTTGAATAGGTAGGAAAATCGTGTTCATGATGAAAAAAGCGGTGTTTCTGGAACTTGCTACTCGTTTTTACTTCTAATTTTTAGGCTATGTTTCAAGGGAAGACTTCATGCTTTCTTCATGACGGTTAATTATTACATAAATTACTACCTCTTTGCTGTAATGTGTCTGATGTTTAGTTAAGACTTAAAAGCAAAGGTTGTTGTTGAATAGGTAATGAAAGTTGTACTCTTGATTAAAAAGCAGTGCTTCTGTGGAACTTGCTACTCACTTCTACTTTTGTTTCCATGGAAGACTTCATGCTTTTTTTTTTTTTTGTGCACCAGACTTCATGCTTTTTAAGTTCTCTTTTTTACTTCATGAAACAGATGCAGATTGAAATTTTCCTCTTTTGTCGGTATGCAGTATGGTTTGGTGCATATCTCTGCTGGAGATTTGCTGAGGGCTGAAATCGCTTCTGGAAGTGAAAATGGAAGACGGGCAAAAGAACATATGGAGAAAGGACAATTGGTCCCTGATGAAATAGTTGTAATGATGGTAAAAGATCGTTTATCGCAGTCAGATTCAGAGCAAAATGGATGGCTTTTGGATGGATATCCAAGGAGCGCATCACAGGCAACAGCTCTCAAGGGATTTGGATTCCAGCCTGATCTATTCATTGTCCTGGAAGTAAGCACTGTTCTTATTTTTAATGTTCCTTATCTCTAATCTGAAGGCTTTCTCTAGAACTTCCTAGATTTTACCTATATTTGTGAGTTCAATGCAATGGATAAACTCTTACTTCTTTGGACCATAAATTCTGCAACATTTTGCTAAAAGTTAAATTCTGGGAAATCAGTCTTAGAGTTAGAATGCAGACAACTGATAATAAACTAAATCCATTAGCTATATTTATCTTTTGTGCAAGATGTTTTAACTAGATGATGTAGCACACTGCTTTGAGCCTTTGACTCTTTATCCTATGAATGGAGTTGGGCTCGTTTGATTTACGCCTACTCTGCTTTTGAATAGGTTCCTGAAGATATTCTAATTGAAAGAGTTGTTGGGCGTCGATTGGATCCTGTCACAGGAAAGATCTACCACTTGAAGTATTCTCCTCCAGAGACAGAAGAGATTGCTGCTAGACTCACCCAACGTTTTGATGATACCGAAGAGAAGGTAAATCAATATTTCTTATATATTTTTCTGTCTGTTGAAAGTTGCCCATTCAATCATTATTTCTCACATATGAAATTCACTCTTAGTCCATTCTGTCTCTGAATTTTTTTCTCTTACCCTGTAGGCAAAACTGCGGCTGAAGACTCATAACCAAAATGTGAGAGATGTGCTTTCTATGTACGACGATATTACTATTAAGGCATGAGATCTCAGTCACACTCTTTCTATTTTGGTTTTGCTATCTCTTCTTTAATGATTTTCATGAAGTAAAATGGCACCTCATTTACTATTATTATCCAGATCGAGGGAAACCGTTCAAAACAAGAAGTGTTTGCCCAGATCGATTCTTCTCTGTCCGAATTGCTTCAACAGAGGAACACTGCTCCAAGTTCACTTTTAAGTTGAATCATTCTTGGTACAAACCTGAGGAAGTGTTTGCCCAGATCGACACTACTGTGTCCAAATTGCTTCAACAGAGGAACACTGCTTCAAGTTCACTTTTAAGTTGAATCATTCTTGGCAAGGACCTAACCAGCGGTAAATATCCTTTCTTGCATTTATCACACTCGATTGATATCACTTGTATTGCAATAACGGGTCGTTTTTGTTGCCAGTAAGACAATGTATGTCTACCTCAAACCTCAGAAATATGCGACCTTAGCTTCTTCTTATAATCTGTAGATTTTCTGAAAATAATCCATTTTGTTCTCTTTTCACAATCATAAAGAATAGAACCGAGTTACTAAGTGATTTAGGAGCTTTAAAATTTCTTTAGTCTTTTCGTATCAGTCAAATTTTGACCATTGGCGTCTAAATTCAATTTCGTCTAAATTCAATTTGACAATTGTAAACCAATTCACCAACTCTTTTTCCTAGCAACTAATAATAGAAGACTTTTAGACTTTTCCCATGGAGTTTAATATAAGTTGGTAAGCTCTAACACTTCTTGTCTTCAAATCATTGACTTGGAATCTTATGTAATGCGTACAAAAAGAAGCAGCGAAACTCATTGGCTTTTGCTTTGAACTTTTCACATTTAGCTGCAAAAGGAAAATGGATTGTGCCAATGTTTTCGTCGAAGAAAATATTAAAATTTTGTACCAATTAATTAAATTCCTAATCCCTAATAAATAAATACAATTACGGTTGACCAAAAAGATTAAGCTAAACGTGGCTAATAAGTGTTTGATCGAGATACGGTCTCCGTCTTTGGAGCCGTCAAACAAGCGGCCAAAGCACTCTCTAGTTTACTCACTACCTCCGCCATTGATGGCCTTTTCCGGCTACACGGCATCAAACACTCCGCTGCCAAGTATCCGACATGAGCCACCGCCTCGATTTCGTAGGGCGTTGGTGGCGGAATCCTCTGGTCAAGTACTCTATGAACCTCATCAAGCAAAATGTATGGTACAATATATTCCACTACGTTTCTCGGGTTTTCGTCTTCGTTCTTGTGTATAGCTTTGTGACCGGACAGTAACTCCAGCAACACGACGCCGAAGCTGTAAACATCACTCTTAGTTGTGAGCTGTTGAAACTTATAGTACTCTGGGTCGATGTAGCCCAACGTACCGGCGGCGTGTAAGGAGAGGTGTGACACGTCGTCTTCTTCTGTTGGACCCATCTGAGAGAGTCCAAAATCCGAAACTTTGGCTGTCCATGTGGCGTCCAGAAGTATGTTTGACGACTTTATATCACGGTGGATCACCGGAGGCACTACAAACTCGTGGAGGTATTGGATCCCACGAGCGGCATCAAGTGCGATCATCAAGCGTGTTTGCCACGTAAGAGGGTCAAATTGAGGATTATGAAGGTGATCAGCGAGAGATCCATTTTTCATGTACTCGTACACCAAAACCCTCTCTTCTTCATCCTCGTAGAAACCAAGAAGTCGAACAAGATTTTTGTGGTTGAGCCGCGACATAGACTCTAGCTCGTTTACGAACGCTGAATCCTTGTCTGCTCGTCGGTTTCTCATTGTGGTCCCGGACAATGTAGGGTTTGTTAGCTCAGCTCGTTTGATTGCCACATGACGTCCGTCCGATAAAACACCTTGGTAAACAGAGCCGAAGCTGCCTATACCAAGCTGAAACCTGACAGAGAAACCATCTGTGGCTAAAGCCAGCTCGTCAATTGAGAACTCCATGAGCTGCCCAGGGTTCCCTAAGCTTACTAGACTGCTCAGCCTCTTCTCGAGCTTAGGTATGTCTATTGTCCTAGTTTCATCGAGACGTCCAGAGTCATGGACACGGCATCGGGAGTGGCTTTTAACGACGAAGAAGCTAATGACAAGAAGCAAGGAAAATGTTCCAACGCATCCGACCACAAGAAACACAATGTTTCTTCTGCTCCAAGTTTTGTTCATAGAGTTTTGTGCCCTTGTATCTGGAAATTCTCCATCCTCTTTTTTCAAATCACAAATCATCAATTCATTGCCGCATAATGACTGTGAACCTGACAATGGACGGTAAGGGCATTCTCTTCTACACGGTCCTGGCATTACCACTTGAGAAATTAGGCCTTGGAACGGAGCGAAAACACCCGATTTAAAATTCTCATTTCCCCAGCAATATAGAGTGTAGTTTTTTGTGGCAACACCGCAAAAGATTTGCCCTTTAGCATATATTGATGTGAAATGAATGTCCTTAAGAGTTTGAGGCAAACTGAAATTTTTGTTGTTTCCCCAACACACCACAGTTCCATTAGACCATCTAATACCGCAGCTACGGTTTTCCCCAACTGCCAATGCTAAAAACTTTTCATGTGGCAACGACTCCGTTTGTCCCCAGCACTCGACATCATTGTCAACAGTGATCGCGCACGCTTGTCTTGATCCAGCCGCGATGGCGATGTAGCGGTCTCCACTACTCGGTACCTTGGATATACCTTCTCCTTCACAGCTGATCCTTCCAGGTGGCTGAGATAGCCCACAGAAAAAGTTATCTCCCAAGGCAATGGAACTGTAGTTATCCGACCGTGGTAGATAGAACGGTTGCCAGCAACGGAGGCTCCTTGAGACTCTCTCAACTCCACAAATGCGGGAATTTCCGGCTTCTAACTCTTCTAGCTCAGGACCGTGGTAGATTCTTTTGTGCAACAAACTACTTCCGTTAACAGAAAATCTCCAACAAAGAAGTGTGGAAGTGTTGGAATCCAGCACCGTTCTCAACCCGCACACAAACCCATTCCCGGAGACAACCCCGGAAAACCTACGTTTTCGGAGGTTATCGGTTAAAGAGAATCGAATAGAATTTAAAGGGAAACTGGAACATTGGAGATAAGAGTGGTTGGTGAGAGCACATACAAGAGTCTGATTAGAGATGTGGGAGATGGAGACAGTGGAGAGGGAGAAGCAAACAAAAGAGAAGGAAGATAGAAGAAGAAGAAGGAGAGACACAAAGTGAAAGGAGCAACGAGAGATTGAAATGCTAAATGCCATTGAAGAAGAGTTCTCATGGCGTGTGAATGTTTTATGTTTGAGGAGTTGTGTTTTTAAGACGGCAAATCAACGCGGTTAGAGCGACATGAGACAAAGACAGAGACACCTCCCGAGAGACCAAAACCAAGTCTTATTATTTATAGTGCTTTTTCTCTATTCTAATTATTTTGATGGTCAACTCTTTGAACTTTTCAACACTTACTTTCAGTGGCAATGGCATCGCATCTAAACTATACTTAACTTTTTGGTGAAAACAAAATAATGAATTAGTTCATTTCTCTGGTCCACGTTTCATTTTATTACACAACGATTGTCTTCAATAAAGCTAATAAAGAAGATATCTTCATGTTGTGTTTTGTTTAAAGAATTTGTAGAACGAACATGATTTCTTTAATCATTAAGATACTATATTTATGATTTTCTTAATTTTTAAAGTTTTTAGTTGAAGTGCTAGTTTTCTAAATACCATTGATTAAATAGTGTTAAAAACATAAAATGTGTTTACAGAAAAAAAAGAAAAAAATTGTTACTTAACATAATAGCATTATTTTGACAAAATATAATTATGATTGGTAGATTGACACGATGTTCTTTCTAAAACGGTTTGAATTTTCCGAAATTCAAACAAGTTCTTCTTTGAGACGGGACAAAGTGAAAGGTGAAAATAGTGCAATTTCACTGGATATAATCAATCTTATCAGTAGTGATATGAAAAAAAACTTTGAAGTACACAATTACGAGAGATCAAGATTTGAAAAAAAAAAAAAAAAAATCATACTTCATTTGTATCTTAAACTTTACACATATAGGGCTTTGCACAAATCCTTCATGAGAGGATGCACTCTTCATCATTATGGAAGCAAATGTGGCCCATTAAGTAATAATTGAAGCCCAATTTCCCTTTTACACAATTTTCAATTAAAGTTTTGGTCTGATCACAATGTTTGCGTTAGCTGCGAAACAAGATGCTGTTACAGTCATAGAAGTCTTATGCGTACACGACTCCGATTTCAAAATCAGAACGGAATATAAACACTCTCGACGACGAACCTCAAAATATCCAAATTCTCCTCCGGCTCCGAGCTATGGCTACGTGTTCCCTCTGGGCGCCACCGTCTTTCTCTCCCCGCCGGCGATTCTTTAGCTTTTCTCACAATCGCCTGTCTCTATCTTCAATGTTAAGTTTCCGCAAAGAGCGTGTCTCACGAAGAGTCCTTTGTAGCTACGAAGAAAATGACAGAGATCGGACTCAATCTACCGGAATTCAACTCTACGGCGAGATTGAGAGGTAAAGCCACTGTTGTTTTTACCGATTTGCGTAACTAGCTTCATCTTTAAGCTCACTGTTGTGGAATCACATACGAATTTTCAGGTTATTGACAGAGACTGTTAAACAATCTCAGAGTAGTTCCGGTGGATCCTCTGATTGGTCAGAAGTCGAGGTGTGTCTTTGTGTTATCTCAATTCCTTTGTGTGCTTTTGGATATGAAGAATTCAGGAGCTTATCTTCAAATTTTGATTTGTATGTTTGAAATTAGAATCTGAAGTTGATGTTTACTCGAATTTTTAGATGTGAGCACAGTTTATTTTCTGGATAGTATGCTGTAATGGATGATTCTTAGAATCCAAGTTAAATTCAGGAGAACTGTGTAGTTCAGAATAAGTTTTGTTTCAGATTGTTTTCAATATCCAGTGAACCTTTTCTTAGGGAGCATGGGTGCTGAAACCAAGAAACTCGAAACCGAAGATGGTTGTTCATTTCATTGGCGGTATATTTGTTGGTGCAGCACCACAGCTTACCTATCGATTGTTTCTTGAGAGATTAGCAGAGAAGTAAGTCTCATGGTGTAGTAGGTTTCCTTCTCTTAGGCATTATTTTGATAATTATATCAACTATGCATCTGGATATTCTTCTAAAGACAATTTTTTTAAGATAAGTGAGCATACCAAAAAGTATACTAATGAATCTGGCTTAGCTATGTCTAGTTTTTTCATGAATTTATGATAATGTTGTGATGTTTTGTGCATAATAGTAAACAAAATTTCTCGTGCAGGGATATTTTAGTTATCGCGACACCCTATGCTAGTGGTTTTGACCACTTCAATATTGCAGATGAAGTACAATTTAAGTTTGATAGATGCTGCCGATCTCTAAAAGAAATAGTGAGTATCTTTTAGTGATCCTAGAGAAACAAAAACAAAATTTGTTCTATGCACAAGGTTGAGAAAAATTGGTGTCAATTTGAATGCTCTTTCTCTCTACAGGTGCAGGATCTTCCATCTTTTGGGATCGGTCATTCACTGGGATCCGTCATTCACCTTCTGATTGGTAAGTAGGTTTAAATGGTTGTCAATGTATTAAACTGATTCAGCTCATTAGATTTTTATTGAGTTGGTTTTCACTAGTCATTCAGGATCAAGGTATGCCGTTCAGCGAAATGGGAATGTATTTATGGCATTCAATAACAAGGTAAATGGGTTTGCCAGAGGCAATCATAGTTGCCATTAAAGATAGAATTGTTTGGGGAAAACTGAAAAGAACAAAGGTATATACTTAGGACTTAGGAGATTGAGGTTAAACATTCATAAAGCAATTCTTATGGAAAACACCGGGTCAGAATCCCAATTTCTTCATATCACCACCTCTTTACATTGAAATAGAAAATATTCCCAACATTATTTCACCCCATTGGCTGTCCCTCATTCAATTAGATAATACAATATACTCTTAAAAAGTATTTCCCTGTAAACCCTTGTGATCTAAAATAATACTTTTTTTTTATGGAAAGATATTGTAAATCCTGTTATGGAATCTCAAAACCTGTAAAAGGTGATATCTTATTGGAACCCCTAATTTTTCAGGAAGCGAGCTTAGCTATTCCTTTGTTCTCCCCAGTTCTTGTGCCGATGGCCCAAAGACTTGGACCACTGTTATCACAGATGGCAACCTCCCCAACAATCCGCCTTGGGGTAAGGTTCTGATTCCTTTGCTCTGCTGTTTTTAAGATGTGCAGCTCTTCGGATTTCACTAGTTTCCCAAGTGATAGTCTAACTTCTTGCTTTTGGTGATTGGTGTTTGATCAATTTGTTTGCTAACTCAAGAAATGCCGTCATGAGTGCACTTACTCCTTATCGATTTTTTTCTCTCCATTTTATTTAAAATAGCAGTAAATGCTACTTTTGATTTTTGACACATCAAGTCGTAAACTGGTACATCTTACATCCTTTGTTGATGGTGTTCTAAAAAAAAACTGACAACAAAAACTATTTGCAGGCAGAGATGACCCGAAAGCAATTAGAAACGCTTAGCCCTCCCATCATGAAGCAAATTCTTCCATTAGTGGAACAGCTCCCTCCCTTGTACATGGACTTAGTAAAGGGAAGAGAAGATTTTATTCCAAAACCAGAAGAAACAAGACGCCTTGTAGGTGAAACGCATAATGTTTTTGGGTTTATGTCTCATCATGGAGCCTTATCTCGTCTTGATAAACCATCTATCACACTAATCGATATTCTTGCTAAAATGTACAGATAAGATCCTACTATGGAATCTCTAGGAATCTGTTGATAAAATTTGAGGATGATTCAATAGATGAAACATCAATCCTGGCTCAGGTGCTTGGTGTGGAATCGTCCATTAGCTCAAAGCTAGACATGTCTATCCGTACACTGCCAGGAGATCACGGTCTCCCTCTGCAACAGGTACTGAGTTCTGTTTAAGGCAAACTATTTTGCAACAGTGATTTGAGCCATCACCATGGAGATAGTCCAAGAACACGAATTGTGTTAGAATTAAAAGTGTTCAATCCGAAGAAAACTAAACCCCGCTGATCCAATTTGAGAGCTAAAATAAGTCTTATTCGGTTAATGTGGTTTATTTTCAGAATTCTGAAACACCAAAACGACAGTCTGAAAACCCAAACTGAAACCTATGGTTGATTAAAAAGTGAAGTCAAACCAAAACTGAACCCAAAACAATACAAACCTTTCTATTGTAGATTCAGTTTTCATTTGTTATTCTTTTCCTAAAATTAACCCGTTAACACATAAACGAAAGCAGATTGAACATGCATTCACAGTTAGAATCGATATGGAGACTCTTTTGTTGCTTTCTCTAAGGTGCTAATATTAAAAGTGTCTTATATTACTGTCTGGACAGGCTCTTCCGGATGTTCCACCAGGAATGGTAGAAGCTGTGAATCGAGGAAGTGAGTTTTTAGCAAATATTGCTGTCGGGACTCCGTGGGAATCTATGGCTAAAGAGGTTGGAGGTTCGCTGGGAATGGACTCGAAGATCCTTCGTGCTGATATGTCCAAAGACCTTGCCCTGCTTGTCGATGCAATCACTTCTTGGATGGCTTCAAATATGGGTCCAAAACTTCTGAGACCATAATGTTTCTCATGTACACAACATAAAAAAATTCTAATAACACAGGCGATTGCATACTATTTTAAGTAATGTAACTGTATATATATAACATGAAGAGTTTCGTTATACATAAAAAGTCCTGTCGATAGCATGTTTTGGTACCCTAGATCACACAAGGATGTCAAAAAGAAGGAAGAAATAACAAACAGATAACGGAATTGAGGGTCTTGAAAAACAGTAAGCACACTTGATATGATCGGTGAACTATTCGTGGTATAGATACAAGCCGAGACCAAATCGTGCACATGCTCTGCAGAATGCTATTTCCTCAGCTGCAGTAACTGGATCCTCAATGTGATCATCAGTCGTCGTTACTGTCCCAGTGGATTCACGATGTGCCTGCATTACATAAAAATTCAAAACTTAGTCCTGTGATCAATGTCACATGTTGGTTCACTAATATCAATTTACAATTTCAACAACCCATTCAACTCGCTCTCCACAAAACAACCTTCTATCATATCATTCAAAGTCATAAAAATGGGATTTTGCTGGTTTAGGCATTGCCATAGATGACCGAAGTCATTAGGCTCGGCGGCTCGAGGACTTCCAAGATCACATTATCTTTGGTTTCAGTCCACGAAAGCAGATACTTTCATCCAAATATCCGTCAATCTATAGTCTCTTATAAATACAGATATATTTGCGTATCTTCTCAAGCCAGTTAATTATCTGAATTTGCACAAGTCAGGATAAGGTTCAAAATCTTCTTCTAACTAGCGCAGTCACAAACAATTATAACTTGATTGAATTTGTAGCTAAAATATCGGTAAGATGAGATGTGACAAGAAAGAAAACTGATCAGTGCATCACAAACACTTAGTTCTTCTTAATTTTAACATATTCAAAGGAGAGTGGGCGCTAGATATGTTCCTTAATCGTTGATATACTCTTGGAAGCTACCATTAGAGGTTAATCCAAGAGTATATCAACGATTAAGGAACATATCTAGCGCCCACTCTCCTTTACAAAGGTTTGATTTTGAACAAAACAAGACAAACAAACATCAAGACATGAACTAGAATCTTTTCCTTAATCATTAATAAACTCTTGAAGACTACCATCAGGGTATTCCTCTAAAAAGAGTCACTAAGAGAGAAACAATGCAAAGGTTTGATTTTGCACAAAATTAGTCAAAATCAGACATGAGTTGCTTTGATTACCTACTTAATCACACACAACTATCCTCAAAAAAATAAGCAAGAAATTGAGGAATGTTGAAGAGCTTACCTCACCATCAGAGCCACGAATGGTGAGACGATAAACAACAGTAACATTACCATTCTCAGAGAAAATAACATCTCTAACTTCACCACACCAACCAGGAGCATAGAAGCTAAGCATCCGATTTGCATGGTACCTATAAATAAAACCCAGACACAAGTCAGATCAATGAACCAAACAAGCAACTTCTTAAACTAAAGGATCCAAAAAAAGAGTTTAGTACCACGGGATAAAACCAGAAGCAGCAGAAGTAGAGGGAGGATCATGACTCTTAACAATGTTATCAGGAATCTTCTTGTTAAGGTCACGAAGTATCTCAATCAAGGGCCTAGTAATCGACGAAGACGACGAGAATTTGTCAATAGGAACTACATAATTCGAATTAGGAACTGCTTTTTTCTTCCCCACGTCTCCACCTCCGACTCCTACTCCCCCACCGCTGCATCTAACTCCGCGATTCGCCGTTAACCGGCGAACCGCCACGGTTTTGAGTGGGGAGAGTTTGATGCGTGCAACGGCGGTGGATGGTGCGGAGATTGTGAAGGCCGTTGAGGTCTGCTGCATTTGCAAAGCCATTGATTTCGTGTCGGAGCAAAACTGTGAGTTAAGAGGAAAACAGGAGAAGTGGTAAATTGTGAGATACATGACGTTACATTTAGTAGTAGGTGACTAGGTGAGGTAGGTGGAAGTTCAAAACCAAACCAACCCCTTTTTTTGGTCTTTGTATTTATTTTTTTAGTTTTAATTACAAGATGATTCGTTTGGGATATTATTCAAGGCAAGTACAAATTTATAAACTCAGTGATTCATGCCAAATGTTTAATTAGAAAATTTAGAATTTTTTCTCTCTTTTTTTTCCCACTAAAAACGTTGTGGTTAGTTGTAAATGGTAATGGGTTGGTTTAAATCATCACTTTACCATTTTCGTTGGTTTAAATCATGAATTCTAGACCTGGTGATTTAAATCCTTAATTTTATGTTGATTTTCATTTTAATCATGAATTCTCATTAACAAAGCCAATGAAGGCACATCGCTAACTGGCTAAATGGATCAATAAGACGAAGTCATCGCATAACTGGCACTTCGAAGCCATCACATAATTTTTCTTCTACACCAATATGGTTTCCATCTTTCTCTTCTTTCGATTGCTTCGTTCAGCCAGTTAACAATGTGCCTCAATTGGCTTAGTCAACGAGAATTCGTGATTAAATTGAAAGTCAACATAAAATTGAGGATTTAAATCATCAGATCTACATAAAATGAGGATTTAAATCACCAACTCCAGAATTCATGCTTTAAACCAACAAAAATGGCAAACTAATGATTTAAATGACATTTTTCCCGAATGGTAATGCATTGTTCTATGAATAAAATGTTCTTTTCCTAATGAAATCGGTGATCAAGATTTTGAAATTGGCTTAACCTAAATTGTTTTCACTTTTGAACAATTGGCCACCTCTTTCACATTCATGAGTACTAAAAAGATATAAACTTTAAGCAAAACAAAGACGCATAGAGAAAGTGTTGGCCATCCCAACTTATTCATCAAGCCAAAGTCAAAACATCCATGCAATAAAAACCCAAATCATTACTAAGCGTTTCTCTCAGACAGTATTAAAATACTGAAATAAAACTGACCAAAGTAAAATATTAAAGAAACACCAACTCAAAAGAAAACTTCATAAATGTCGTAGGCAAAACACCAACAACGCAACCAAAGCCAAGAAGGCTACTTCACTCTCCACATGTTCCTTCATTCTCTACCTGTTTTAACACCAGTACAGAGATTTAAGGTAGGGATTCCAAGAAGAAAACAAGGTTTTAAAGAGATCGATCTTTTACCTTCATAAAAGATGCTTCTTCAATTATTATCCAATTCTCTTGTGCGCGACCCCGACAGCCCGCGCAGGCTGGTTCAGGCATGGCAGTGTGCCATCTTCCCCAACCAGCGATGGTGAGGATTTGATTGATTGTTATTCCGAATCATCATCAAGAGCTTCTCCATCCTCGGAATCAAAGGCAGTCATGTCAAGCTGGTAACGAAGTATTCCTCCTATTCCTCCAAACCCTCTGCAAAACTGAGAACCTTCCTGTGATTTGTTCGTCACAAACTCTAGCGCACAACCAAAACGCCTGTACTCGTTCGCCAGCCACTCCAGTAACGACAGCTTCTCCTCCACATCCAAAGCCAAGTCGCTGTCGCTTACTTTGAAATTCTCCGTGTTTGCTTCTTGTTCCTTGTTCAGGTGCTTGATCACAGTTTCACCAGTCGCACTGTTCTTCATCACATATCTGTTGATATCGAGATTTTCCCATACAATCAGTGTCTCTATAGCACCCGACTCCAAAGCATTCAATGTATCTTCCACACCAAACACATACTTCCCTGTGTCCTGGCTTATCTCCTCAAAGTACTTCCCAATCAGACGCTTCTCTTGGATGAACTTCACATTCGCCAGAATTTCAGCTGACAGCTCAATAGCCTGATTGAAACCATTTTCTCCTCCATACGATACATCCACCACATTCAGTATCTTCGCACCCAGCCGGGGATCAAACATATCTGACTGACTCAACTCAGTCTTGAAATCTGCTGAACCGGCAAGTATTAGCCCAGACACATTCGGCTGACTTGTTGCAGGATTGATGTAGTACTGCGTGGCGAGCTCAGCGGTCTTCCTCACATAATTGTGACGCTTCTCCATACGGAGACGGGCAAAACGAAGAGCAGACTGTCCTCCTCTTCCGTGTTTCTTCGGAAGATCAACAGAGAACTTGTGAAGCACCTCACGGGTATTACCACTAAGAGTTCCAAAGAGAGTCCCGTTTCCATCCATTACAATGAAACCAAACTTATCATCCGACTCCAGCAATTCATTCAAAGCTTCCGTGTGAAACTTGTTGTCACAGAGGTAGAGAGAAGCATTGATGGGTCTGAAAGGCTCAAAGTCAATAGTAACCTTCTTCTCCTTACCTTCCTCATTAACAATGGTTCCGGTATAGAGCACAAGACCATTAGGAGGGACCCTGTTGTAAAGTTTCAGCCTTTGCTGAGCAGAAGTAATGGCACCCAAAACAGATTGGCGATTGACTCTGCTCTTGATGTTTGATGCAGTTCCATACTCATCACCCAACATCTTAGTAACACGCGAGACCTGATCACGTGGAGGCATGATGAGAGAGATCATGCTAGTTCCATTACCCCTAGCAGCTTCAAGGGATTTGATCAGCTTCTTAATCTTCCATATCTCAATGTTCTTGTCGTCATCGTTTTTGTCTCCCATCTTAACAATAGAACAAAAACCTGCAACAACAACAGTACATAAGCTAGTTAATACCGAAAACAGAGTAATTCAACTCAAGAGATATAACTCAAAATGGAGTAGAGAACAAAACTATTGTAAGAGGATACTATTGTAAGACCAAATACTTGGCGACAGAACAAAACTATTACCAAAGAGTTATACAATTTTTGTGTCATGTGACCGGTTCCAACCAGTTTAAATGCAATTATCTTTGATCATACAATTAATATTGTGCAATTACCATGAAAAATCAGTAGTAAAAGGCGCATTAAATCTAATAAACTTCATAGCATGCGTTCATCAGTAATAAATCTTAAGCGAAATTAAATTACACAATAAATTACATAGTAATTTCAAAGATCAAGATATAGCTAATGGATCTAGCTTTTAAATATCAATTTCTTCGAGTTTATCTTACGGAATAACTAATCTAATCATAGAAAAAATAAAAATAAAAAGCAAAATTGAACAGAAAAAAAAATACGATTCATGATCACAAACGATACTTCTACCAAAAAGTTTCAGATAAAATTTAATTCAACACACGAAACCTAATTGCTATAATATCAACAAAAAACGAGAAAAAATCAATACTAAAGTACACCTAAAAATCTAAAATTCGAGAAACCTAAAACAACGATAAACAAATGCAAACAATCAGATCACACAATCAATCGATCGAATAATAAAATCAAACAATTACGAAACCATAAGAACAACAAAATAAAACCCAAAAAAAAAAAAAGATGAAGATCAATAAGCACCTGAAGAAGAAAGAACAACGCTCAAGCCTTCGACAACTTTTTCTATTCTTTATTGTATAAAAACCGCAATTGTGGCAGAGAAAGCAGAATATATAATCTTTATAACCTAGTTTTTTTCCTCTAAGCCTAACAAAACCGACTCATTTAAATGGGCCTAAATAACGTTAATGGGCCCGAGCCCGTTATTATTACTTAATCCATTTTAACATGAACACAAAGAGTTCTCTGGTCTGGTCTTTGATTCTTTTGTTTTGTGGCATCTGTAGAGTTGAGAGGAAGAAGAAGAAGAACGATGGCATGGAGAGGAAGCATATCGAAGTCTATGAAAGAGCTTAGGATTCTTCTTTGTCAATCTTCTCCAGCTAGTGCTCCCACCAGGTTTCAATTTGATTTTTCGAATTGATCAAAGCAATCTCTGAGATCGGAGATTTTTTCAATGTTCCATTTCCGTTGAGTTTTGTGATTTTTAGGGTTTTTGTTTCGTTTTCAGAACGTTTGTTGAGAAGAATTACAAAGATTTGAAGTCTCTAAACCCTAAATTCCCAATCTTGATCCGTGAATGTAGTGGAGTCCAGCCTCAGATGTGGGCAAGATATGGTAAATTGCTTTATCTCTTATCTCTTTTTTAGTCTCGTGAAGGAAATTTTTGACTAATTTGTGTTCTTAATGTTCTTTAAAGATTTGATATGAATGTATTGACAAATGTGGCTTCTTCTTTTGTTTCTGCAATCATTTTTTGTATGGAAGAGTCTTTATAACATCTTGTGTTAATCCATTACAGTTCAAGTACACACTCACTTTTAGAGCCTTGTACATTGATGAAATTGTTCCTTGTTGTGTTTGATGTGAATGCTGCAATTTTATGGTTAATGCGATTGCCTACTGCTGTTGTTCTTTTTTTATTTTCTCGCGTTTATGCATTGTTTTGAACTTAGGGTAGTTACATATAAGTGTTAAATTTTGAGTTTGTTTTTTAAAGGTTTGACATGAATCCATTGGTAATAACAGGTTTGGCTTTTTCTTTTGTTTCTGCATTCAGTATTGTTTTGTGGAAGAATCTTTTAACATCTTGAGTTAACCATTACTCTTTAAAGTGGCACACTCACACTCACTCTTCGACTCTTGGTTATTGATGAAAATGTATTGTGTAACCACTATGCATATTGGCTTGTTCTTTTAAGATGAGAATTGTTTTTCCTAGTTCCTTGTTGTGTCTAATGTGAATGCCGAAATTTTATGGTTTATGCGATTGGCTGCTGCTGCTGTTTGTTTGCTTTCTTGTATTCTCGTATTATCAACTTTATGTAATCACATATCAGTGTTAATTTGAGTTGTATGTTCTTAAAAGATTTGAAATGAATGTGCACATTGATAATAACAGATGGGGCTTCTTCTTTTGTTTCTGCATTCAGTTTTTTTTTATGGAAGAGTCTTTTCGCATCTTGAGTTAACCCCATTACACTTAAAGTGCACACTTACACTCACCCTTAGAGTCTTGGTCATTGATTATTAATGAATATGTATGTATTTTGTATGTATATTGGCTTGTACTTTTATAATGACTATTGTTTTCCCTAGTTCGTCTTTGTATTTAATTTTACTGCAAAAATCTCATGGTTTATGTGAGTGCCTACTGCAGTCGTTCGTTTTCTTTCTCGTATTTTGTTTTGAACTTTATGGTAATCACATATCAGTGTTTTCAGCAACTAAAAGTATTCAAACATCTGTGTTCCCACTGCCTTCATGTAGTAAAGTATAAATTTTGTAAATCATGTCTCCTCTCCTGCTTATAGAAGTGACATGTTTAGGAAGTTGTTTAGCTTTTAAAATCAGAAAATCAACAATTGTTTAATCCATGGGAGATGCGTCTGCTTGAAGGCTGCTAGGATTAGATGAAAGTCTGAAAACTTCTTTTTGGTGACATACTTGTTTTATGCAACAGTCACAATGTGTTAAAATTGTCATCCTTGATTCTACTTAGAAACTAGTATCTATAAAATGTTTCTGTTTTTGTACTCCGTTAATTCGTGCTTGGATTGCAAACCCTTGTGCAGATATGGGTGTGGAGAGGTGTGTAAACTTGGATGGTCTGACGGAGCCACAGATTCTAAAGGCCCTTGAAAACCTTGTGAAATCCGGAGCTACAAAAGCCTAAGGTTGTTTGTTTGTTTTTACCTATCTGATCCCGAATAAGATTAAACCGGAAACACCTCATTTAACATTTCCTGTCATTCTACTACATTGTAACTCCGTGGTGTCATATCGCCTTTCGTTTGAGTTGGTTTTTTTTCTGTGTAATACTTGAACTTGAAATAAATCGTATCATTCCTTATTATTGAAAACCACTGAAAAGAAAAAATAAACGGTAACAAATGTAGTAGAGAAAGCTGTTATTATGAGGTTTTGCCAGTTTTTGACCGGTTTAACTCAAATCCCGGTTTTAGATCTATTCGCACTCGGCTCAAGCAACGATTCCCGGTCCGGTCCATTTTCAAAAGCACTGCTAAGAGCGAATCAAGTTCGCAACTGACGGCAACAATAAGGGTCCAATCACAACACATCCACGTGAGAATCTCAAGTGGCTTCTCAACTGTTCTCGTTAATACAGTTCTACTTTCTTTTTCTCTTTTGATAAAGATTTAATTATAATAAATTTACAAACATAAAGTTTTTTTATTATAAGTTTTTTTTTTTTCCGAATTTAGATTCCAAAATAAATCAGATTTTATCTATTTCCACGGTTCTCGCTCCCACTCCATGATTTTTTTCAATCTTACCTTCTTTCTAAAAAGTTTTGAAATCGAATTATAATTTTCTCTGCGAATCCAGTTTCAATCCAAATCAAAATTCTCCTTCATCATCGGTACGTTCTCTTCTTCTTTGCAAAACCATCGCAATGCATTCTCCGATAGTATAACAGTAAGTACTTTATATCTCACTCTTTTCCTTTACGTGGATGACAAACTATATGCAAGATAAATTCTGTCTTATTCTGAATTCTTCTAATACTCTGGGAGAAGTTTATCGTTTCCATCAAATTAACTTTTAATCATGAAATTATTTTTAAATGGATATGTTACGATTTAATACTAGTATATATACGCTACAGTGGATGAATTTGTGGGATGCAGAAGAAACTGACGATGTACGAATTAATCAAAAGTTGTGATGATGATCATCAATGGCATGAGAAGAAAGACATTGAGTCTGCTCTTCAGATTTCTCGTTCTTCTCTTCCTCCCGACAAAGAACGATTGGTTTCTCTTGATGTCTTTCGTGGTCTTACTGTCGCCGTAAGTTTTTGTTCTAATCACTTTCTAATACGTAATTAGCAATGTAATTAGAGTATAATAATTGTTGAGTGTTTAACAACAGTTGATGATACTTGTGGATGATGTTGGAGGGATTTTACCATCTATTAATCATTCACCTTGGGATGGTGTCACACTTGCGGATTTTGTCATGCCTTTTTTCTTATTTATTGTTGGTGTCTCTCTTGCCTTTGCTTATAAGGTAACTTCTGTTTTGCTCTTTGTTGGAGTCTCATTCTTTGATCTATACTAATTTGACTCACTACATGTTTTTTTTTATAGAATTTGTCATGTAGGTTTGCTGCAACAAGAAAAGCTTTGATTCGATCGTTGAAACTTCTCTTACTTGGTCTTTTTCTCCAAGGTTTGATTCTGAATCATATCCTTAACTCAAGAGGTGTTGGTGATACATAACTTTTATTATCGTTTTTAACTTTTCAGGAGGATTTATTCATGGTCTTAACAACTTAACTTATGGAATAGATGTAGAAAAAATTAGATTCATGGGCATATTACAGGTATATCTAGTGGTATCTCTAGAACCAGCTTTGAAAAATTATGTGTTCCAACATTCTCATTGTAAATTATTAGCTTTATTTTGTTTTGTTATCAGAGAATAGCGATAGCATACTTGGTTGTTGCATTGTGCGAGATTTGGTTAAAGGGAAACCTTAATGTTAGCTCAGAGTTATCTATGATCAAGAAATATAGATTTCACTGGTGAGTGTCTTAATCTTGAGTTTGTACACAGATGATGTTTATGCACTTGTTTATTTCATCTTGGTATTTGACAGGGTGGTTGCATTTGTTATTACAACTATATATTTGTCCTTGCTATACGGTTTATATGTACCCGACTGGGAGTATCAGATTTCAACAGAAGACCAAGGATCAACATTGACAACATTCTTGGTTAGATAATGTTTTCTTCCATCTACACTCCTTCTTTACATATTCTGTAGCACTCCTAATAGCGATGATGCTCGAAACTGTTTAGAATCTGAAGGTGAAATGCGGGGTACGAGGACACACTGGACCAGGTTGCAATGCAGTTGGAATGCTTGACCGTATGTTTCTAGGAATCCAGCATTTGTACAGGAAACCCGTATATGCACGAACCAAGGTTGTTGATTTAACCCAAGTCTTGTTTTTCTCAATCTTTGTTTTATGTCCATTTCATTTGATTTCTTATATCTTCTCAGCAATGCAGTATAAATTCTCCAAACAGTGGGCCATTACCTCCAGACGCTCCTTCTTGGTGTCAAGCGCCATTTGACCCCGAAGGCCTCTTAAGGTCTCTGCTTCTACTCTCCAAAAAATATTAAATAGCAAGTTATGCTTTACCATTGCTCACAAAGTAACTTGCAAGTTTGCTAAACTGTAGTTCGTTGATGGCTATCGTTACATGCCTAGTGGGTCTGCATTACGGCCATATTATCATCCACTTCAAGGTAAACATATCTTTATTTTTCTTTGAAGAACTTTAGCTGCTCTACTCTTAGCTATATGTCTCCTCTATGTAGCATATTAGAGCTGTTGTGAGTTGGTTAGAGAAATGTTATTAAGGGACGGGTTTATAACGAACCATCCATAGCATAAGAGACGTTAAGAGTCTCTCGTTAGTCTGGTCTCCATGGTTTTGGTGAATTGGAATAAGAATAGCGGTTTTATAGCATTAGTTTCTTGTCTTATAAAAAACTTACTATTGTTGCTCTGTAATTAACTTTTTACAGGATCACAAAAAGCGTTTGAATCAATGGATTTTACGTTCTTTTTGTCTTCTAATGTTAGGTCTCGCGCTGAACCTCTTTGGTATTTTTCCTCGACTCTTATAACTCTCATTTACATAATTTTTTGTCCTAATTCATTGCAAGATCAAAATACCTTTTAAATTACATGTCATTTTTTTAGGTAGAATCACAGTTTTGCATTGAAATAGCATTCATTATGTCATTTCTTTTCCGGTTGCTTGCAGGAATGCATCTAAATAAACCTCTATACACACTAAGTTACATGTGTGTCACCTCAGGCGCCTCTGGATTTCTGTTATCCGCGATATACCTAATGGTTTGATTTGCTATTATCCCGAAACTCTTAATTACATACATATACTACGAGAGTAGGAAGCATCACATTGTTAGAATGTAAATCTATCTCGCACTATGTTTACAGGTTGACGTTTATGGATACAAACGAGCAAGTCTTGTGTTAGAGTGGATGGGAATACATGCCTTACCGATATACGTTCTCATTGCTTGCAATCTTGTCTTCCTAATCATTCATGGATTCTATTGGAAGAAACCCATTAACAATCTCGTAAGTTTTACTTCGTCTTTTTTACCGTTTAACATTGTTGAAATTTTGTGTTGGAATTCAAAATGTTATTGTTGTTTGCAGCTTCATTTAATCGGAATCGGAAAGTAAAGAAGAGAAGAGAAAAGAAGGGAGGTGAACAAACATTAAGTGTCATCAACCCAAAACTTAAACATCTTTTTGTTAGAAAGAAACAAAAGCCAACTTCATCTTCACCATCCCATATTCATTCACATGTGGAATCCAATTTATGCTACTTTTGTAAATTGAATCTTATCATATTAAAAATTCCATTTTTTAATCTTTATAATTTTTCACATGATATATTCTTGTAACAACTACGAGTGAACGCGTATTAATGTTAAGCGGTTATAGAAAACGTTGTGGATGATAAAATTGACAACGCAGTCAGTATACGACCCTCTCAACTTACTCCTCTATTTTCTTTCTTCAACTCATTATTCATTTTTTTACTCTAAAGAGTTATTCAAAACAAAACAAAAAATTATTAAATTTCTAACAAAACTCTCCATTTTTCAAATTTACAAATTTTATCCACTATTGAAAAATAATTAGAATATTATTGCCTCATCTAAATTAAAATTTTTTATATAAAGAAAATTATATTCCCTATGTTCCTAATTAATCCAATTTTTAAGTTTATCACACATAAAGAAAACATATCCAATCTCGATTATAAAATGGGAAAAATGTCGAAAAATGCGCGAACTTTCAAATTTGGGACAAAAAAAGCATGAACTTTCGAAATGTCATTTAAATCATAAAGTTTAGTTTAACTTTTGATAAAATGTTTAAGTTTTTGTTGACTTGGCCATTTCGGACATGTCGTTAAATTTCCGTTAACGAGACGTTGACGGGGTTAACTTTCCGTTAAAAATCTCCGTTGAATCAAAACGACGTCATTTTAAAAACAACAAAACGATGTCGTTTCACTGGAAAATAAAACGAATCAACTTTTGAAACGACATCGTTTTGTTGTTTTTAAAACGACGTCATTTCGATTCAACGAAGATTTCTAACGGAATGTTAACCCCGTCATCGTCTTGGTAACGGAAATTTAACGACATGCCTAAAATGGCTAGGTCAACGAAAACTTAACCATTTAATCAAAAGTCAAACTAAACTTTATAATTTAAATGACATTTCGAAAGTTCATGCTTTATTTGTCCCAAATTTAAAAGTTCGCGCATTTTCTGACATTTTTCCCATTATAAAATACATCATTTTTGTCATTCACAACTCTACATCAATAGTATTCAATTTGTTTTTTTTTTTTTAAATCTACAATTCATCATCAATAACTAATAAAGAGAAGCTTAAAAATGTATTTTCTTGCAACAAAAGTGTTTTCTCAATTTTGGATTTAAAAAGAACCCAATAAGTATTAAACTACATAAATTGGAACAAAAAGAAATTAATACATTTTTAAATCGACATAAAATGATGCGGGAACAGATGCACAAAGTTTGGAGACAACTCAACAACACAACAAAACTAGTCTAGCAATAACCATGTTGATTCTGATAAAACTAGGCTAGTCATGGACTGCAACTTCATGGAATGGATTTAATATAGTGGAGCTTATTTGAATATTTAGTGGTGGATTTGAGCGTCTTTATCATTTAGCAGTGATAACTTTATCCAGGTGTGGTGTTAACTCAGTCGGTTACTTTTATCACTTTGTGGTAGCAACTTACTTTATCCAAATGTGATGATCCTGATCTTCCTATGTATCTAGTTATGTTTATGGTTGTTTTAGGCGTAGACAGCCCACAACACGCGTTAATTCGGTGTCAAAGTTAACATGTTACGATCTCATATCACTCACTATTTTCACGATAGCTGCAAAATATAGAATTTGAAAGAAGAAAGAACACAAGGATTCAATAAGAATAACTCTCTTTATTGATGTTTAGAAACTAACTCAAAACTAAACAATGCTTTTGTAACGCCCCGACCAGTCCCTACCAGTGGGTCCCACGTCCTCTCTCGGGCCCATGGGTCCACCCCTGTCCGACGGCCGGTCCGCTACGTTCGGGAGGCTTTAAAGACTTGTTTACCGACCCTACAAATCACCACATGATCTTTCCCTGTGTTTTGTCCTCACTCACACAGTTCTGACAATCACTTCCCAGAAGGTCACCCATCCTGAAACTACTCCAGCCCAAGCACGCTTAACTGTGGAGTTCTCTCAGGACGGTTGACCGAAAAGATAAGTGCACTTTGGTGATATAAGTGGCCAAATCAATTCTTTTAAACCTCTCCGCATGCACCACCATATTCCTGAAATCGGGGTGTTACAGCTTTCTCTCTTTCTCAAACTCTCTCACACAAAACTCATAAGGACTACCACACCTTGGCATCTCTTATATAGTAAAACCCATAAACCTAATCCAACTCCAATTAGGTTTAGTATTTAGATATCTCCTAAATACTTTAAGGATAATTTCCAAATCTCTCAAACTATATCCTTTTGTTAGCTAACTTATAGCTCAAGTTAACTAACCCGAGTTAACTAACTCTTATGCTTTGAACAAGCTTAACTCAACATTCTCCCCCTTAAGCTTGAAGTCTTCTTTCTTCACATCTTGAACTCCAATAAGTCTTCTCATCTCCTTAAACTTGATTCTACCAAGTGGCTTTGTTAGAATGTCTGCCTTTTGCTCATTGCCGGGAACGTGCTCTACCTCCACTTGCTCATTCTCAACACATTCTCTAATGAAATGTTATCTTCTATGTATGTGCTTGCTTTTTCCATGAAACACCGGGTTCTTTGTCAAATCTATAGCCGATTTGTTGTCGATTCTCAACAAGACCTTCTTCCCTTCAATGTTTAGTATTTCACTCAACAACTCTTTAAGCCATATAGCTTGTTTTGCAGCCTCTGTAGCCGCCATAAATTCAGCTTCACAGGAAGACATCGCCACGGTTTCTTGCTTTTGAGAGCACCAAGTAATAGGCGAATCATTGAGGAAGAAAATGTGACCTGTTGTACTTCTACCATCGTCTAAGTCAACATTGTGCGAGCTATCACTATAGCCCATCAAATCTATCTTCTCTGTCCGTTTGAACAAGAGACCAAGAGAGGTGGTTCCACGTATGTACCTCAGGACTTGCTTCAATGCTGCTCCATGGGATTCTTTGGGCTCTTGCATATACCTGCTCAAGACACCAACACTATAAGAGAGATCCGGACGAGTGTGAATCAAGTAACGAAGGCAGCCAATACTTCTCCTGTAATCTTTCTCATTAATACCCTTCTCATTCTGAGACTTAGACAATTGTAGGTTCATCTCCATTGGAACATGAGATAGATTGCAGCCTTCCATTCCTGTTTCTCCCAAAATCTTTTCTGCATACCTTTCTTGCTTGAGACTAATGCCATCTTCATGTTGATCACTTCAATTCCTAAGTAATAAGTCAACTTTCCAAGGTCACTCATCTCAAATTTTGTTGCCATCTCTCTCTTAAATTCCCGAATCAACTTTAAAGAGGAGCCTGCAACAAGCAAGTCATCTACATACACTGCCACAATAAGTAGATGTCCTTTCTCTTCTCGTTGATAAAGTGATGGTTCCTTTGAGCACTTATGAAACTTGAATTCTATGAGAATTGTGTTTAACTTGTCATTCCAGGCTCTAGGCGCCTGTCTTAAGCCATAAAGAGCTTTGTTCAATTTATAGACCTTATTTTCACTACCCGAAACAACAAATCCTTCAGGTTGACTAACGTAAACCTCTTCTTTTAACTCTCCATGTAGAAATGCAGTCTTAACATCGAGATGATGTATTTCCCAGCCATTAGAAGCCGCCAAAGCAATAATGAACCGAACAGTTTCAATGCGTGCCACAGGAGCAAACACCTCGTCAAAATCAATGTCGTGTCTCTTAACATACCCTTTGGCGACTAGACGTGCCTTATACTTGTTAACACTCCCATCTGCATTTCTTTTTATTTTGAAGACCCACTTTAAGCCAATTGGCTTAACTCCTATGGGAAGACTAGTCAAGTTCCATGTTTTGTTCTTCTCTATTGATGAAAGCTCTTCTTTGCAAGATCTATCCAAACTTTCAGCTCTCTGGCTTCGCTAAAGTCCCAAGGCTCTTCATTGATTACCATCAGAAGTTTTTCACACTCTGTTTCTGCGAGAAGGACGTAATCATTCAAATATGCAGGCTTTACTCTTGGCCTTTCTGATCTTCTTAGCGGCGGTGGTGGTGTTTGTTCCCACTCATCATCACCACTGTCTCCATTACTCGGAGCATTACCATTCTCTTCTTCTTCTATATCATCTTCGACCTCTATCACGTCTTCATCCGCAGCTTGAGTGATCCTTGTACCTTCCCCTGTTTCAATATCTCTTATGCCTTTATTACCAAATTCTCCCAAGCTAATAAAGAAGGTTCCGGAGGCTTTATGAGCTTCTCTTTCTCCTCTGTTCCAGATCCAAGCTTTGTTTTCATCAAAAATAACATCACGGCTCACAACTATTTTCTTAGTTGTAGGATCATATAATCGGTAGGCTTTTGTACCAGGCTCTGTTCCGAGATGTACTAACATTCTTGACCTGTCATCAAGCTTCTTTCTCCCAACAATCTATGTTCTTGCATAACAAATGCAGCCAAATACTTTAAGATGTCCAAGATTTAGTCTCTTCCCTTTGTACACTTCATATGGAGTCATTTCAGTTAATGATCTTGTTGCAATCCTATTAATCAAATAGGTGGCATGTCTCACAGCCTCTCCCCATAAAGAATTTGGCAAGCTCATGTGTTTAAGAACACTTCTAGTCATCTCCAAAAGAGTTCTATTTCGTCTTTTAACAACACCGTTTTGTTGAGGAGAGTAGGGTGCTGCAGTCAAGTGTCTTTGGATGTTCATCACAATAAGCTTGAAACTCTTTTGACACGAATTCTCCTCCCCTATCTGTTCGCAGTGTCTTGATTGTTGCTCTTGTTTCTTGCTCAACAATTGCTTTGAACCTGTTGAATTTTTCAAATGCCTCACTCTTTTCTTTTAAGAGAACTGTCCACATATAACGTGAATGATCGTCAATGAGTACGAAAACGTACTTCTTTTGAGCCGGAGTGGAAGGTGTAATCGGCCCACATAGATCTCCATGAATGAGTTCAAGATT